GCGACGGCTGCAGAGGCGGTTGAGGAGGGGACTGGGGAGGGGGCGCCGGGGGAGGGGCAGCCGGGGAGGACTGCACAGGAGGGCCACCAGAGTCAGAAGACTCCTCAACCGGGTCCACCGACGGAAGGGGGGTGACGTGGGACACACCAGAGGGGGCGGGACGGGGAGGAGGAGGAGGAGGGGCAGGGACTACCGGGGAAGGAGTGGCCAGGAACAAGGGGGGGGTAACCGAGGGACCACGGTGGGGGAAGCTACGGTAGTAGGGGACGGAATCGTCAAAGGTGACGTCACGAGAGTGAAAGAAGCGGTGAGACGGCGGGTGGTAAAAGTGCCAGTCGGACGCGTCAAGGGGAAAACCGAGGAAGACGCAGGGAAGAGTGCGGGCAGTGAGCTCGTCCGTGCCGGAGGCACGAACGTGAGCCAGGCAGCCCCAGACGTGGAACGCAGACGCGTCACCAGGGGACCCTGTCCACAAACGGGTCGGCGAAACTTGTGGCTGCTGAGGGTGCGGCCACAGGTTAAGCTGGTGAGAAGCGTAGCGCATAGCGAACGGCCACAGAAAATGGGGTGCACCGGCATGGATCATGGAGGTGCGAGCCACCTCCATGACCAAACCGATGCGTCGCTTAGCGACCCCATTCTGCTGTGGGGAGTCCGGTAGGGTGAACGTCTGGGTGATGCCCTACGCACGACAAAAGCGACCAAGGACACCTGAGGCAAACTCGCCACCACGGTCTGAGTGGAGGCGCAAGACAGGGAGACCGCGGTGGACACGCGCAGAGACAAGCCAGGGGATGAGAGCGCCAGGCACGTCGGCCTTGCGCTCCAGGGGAAAGACTGTGGTGTAGCGAGTGAAGTCGTCGACGAGCACAAGGAAGTAGCGCTCTCGACGCGGCCCAGGGACGGGGGCGGGGCCCCAGACGTCCAGGTGCAGGGTCTGCAGCGGCGCGGCGGTAGGGGGAAACGAGGAGGAGTGAGGGGCACGGCGAAGCCGACCCTCGACGCAAGGCGTGCAAGGTGGGGCTGGGGAGGAGGGAAACGCGGGGAGAGAACCTAGGAGACCAAGGACAAGACCGTGCTGGGACATATGACGCAGACGCGGGAGCGCAGGGTGACCTAGGCGGTGGTGCCAAAGGAGGGTCGGGTGAGTGAGGGACCGACAGGAGCAGGCAGCAGCAACCTGGGTGAGCGCTCCAGCCGGGGGGGTCACGGTGTCCAGGGTGAACAGGCCGGACACCGGGTCCCGGGGGAACGTGGACAGGGGGGCACCAGTGGCGGCCTCGGTACAGACAGCATACCGCTCGTGACCAGGGAACGTAGTGGTGACGCCAAGGTCCTGGAGGCAGCCGACACCAACTAGGTTCCTGGAGAACGAGGGGATATGCAGACCTGTAAGAGAGCCCGAAGGAACCGCCGGACAGGGAAGGGTGGTGGAACTGCGGGCGACTACCGGACCGCCAGAGGGGTCAGCGAGAGAAACGGCCGCAGGGACAGGAAGCGGCGTCAGGGTGGTGGAGTCGCGGAAGAAACACCGAGAAGCGCCAGAGTCCAAGGTGAAGGAAAGCGAAGCAGAGGCGTCTGGCGACGGAACGACGGCGGAAGCACCAAGACTACACAAAGCAGAGGATCCTACGCCTGACGCAGCAGGGGAGGGTACACTGGGCACACCTACACTAGGCAACAGTGAGTAATAAGCTGGAAGCACACTAGAGTCAGCAACATACATCACATGCAGAGCAGAAACAATGGCATCCATGTCCATATCAAAGATCTGAATCTGACGACTAAGCAAACTGTGCCAGTCCGGAAGGTCTGGCGACGGGCCGAAGCGCTGACGAAAGAGGTCGTCCAGGCGACGAAAACAGCGGGGAGTGGAGTGACCGATCTTACCGCAAACGAAGCCGCGGCGAGGACCGGTCTGGATCTGGTACTGACAGCGCCCGCCGCCAGAGCTACCACTCGACACACCACCACGCGCCCGGCCACCGCCAGCGCCAGGCCACCCGGGCGGGAGGACACTCGTCTGCCGCGTCTGCGACGGCTGCTGCGGCTGCTGCGAAGGCTGCGACTGCGGCAGCTGCTGCGGCTGCTGCAACTGCAGGGGCGGCGGCTCAGCTGGACTGGGCAGGGTCCCCTCGTCCGCTCCAGCACTAGACGACCCGACCCCACGACTACCCCCTCCCGCACCCCCGCCTCCGCCTCCGCCGCGCCCAACCTTGGGGCGGCGGCCCTTCCCCGAGCGAAACTGCGCGGCAGCAGCAGTCTCAGCCACTGCGATTGAGCTGTCGGAGAAGGTACACTGGGCGGGGGCACAACCCTGAAGGATAGGGACAGGCACAACACCGCTCGCCTGGGCGATGGAGCGGTGACGGGTCTCTATCACAGTCAGGGTGTCTACAAAGTCAGTGAGGGTGAGGTCGGCGGGGTGAAGGCTAAGGAAGCGGTCGCGGGCGACAGCATGGCGGTCAGGGAGGCGGGTGGCAAGCAGGTAGAGGGTAGAGGTAATGGGCGGCTGGTGGGCTCTAAGCTGTGCGTCAGTGCAGGCGGCGCGCCAGGTCTCCTCTATCGAGCGCAGGTGGGCAGCGAGGTCAGAGACAGTGGGGAAAGATGCAAGGTCATGAAAGAGCATCGGGAGGATCAGGCGACCCACCCAGGCAGCCGGAGGGGTGGAATAGCGCTTGATGACAGCATCTAAGTATGCCTGAGCAGTAGTGAGGGACCTAAAGCGAGGACGCTCGGACGGGGGGAGGGCGTTGCTAATGGCAAGCTGAGCGACAGTATCGCGAGAAAGCCAGACAGAGCGCGCACGGGCAGTGGCAGCAGTAGACTCACGCTCAGTGGGTGTGGGGTCAGCGGGCAGAATAGCAGGGGGGTCTGGGCAGGGGAGCGTACCGTCAAGGTGTGCGGAAAGCGGTTCACCATCCTGCCGCTGGCCAGTGAGTTGGCGGCGGAGGTCGGCAAGCCACGCCTCGAACTCTAGGGGCTGACCTTCAGCGTCGAAGCGAAGCTCCGCCGCCATCAGGAACAGTCCAGAGCGGTGCAGGGCAGTGCAGATAAGTGGAGTGCGGTACAGTACGGTACAGTGCGGTGCACTGCGGTGCACTGCGGTGCGGTACAGGGCGGTGCAGTGCGGTGCAGGGCGGTGCAGTGCGGTGCAGTGCGGTGTAAGGCAGTACCGTGTGGTGCGGGGCGGTACGGTGCAGGGCAGTGCAGGGCGGGGTGGGGGGGGAACCGTACCAGTGAGGAGGACGGGGCCGGGGCAGCGGGGCCGGGCAGGTTCGACAGGGCCGGGCGAGGGCGACGGGGCCGGGCAGGCGCGACGGGGCCGGGCGGGCGCGACGGGGCCGAGCTGGTGCGACAGGGCTGGGTCGGGGCGTCGGGGCCGAGCGAGCGCGACGGGGCCGGGCAGGGGCGACGGGGCCGGGCGGGTGCGACAGGGCCGGGCCGGTGCGACGGGGCCGGGCGGGCGTGACGGGGCCGGGCTGGTGCGACGGGGCCGGGCTGGGGCGACGGGGCCGGGCTGGGGCGACGGGGCCGGGCGAGCGGGACGGGGCCTGAAGGCGGACGGGGCCCAGGAGGGGCACGACGGGGGCCCAGGAGGGGCGCTACAGGGGCTCAGGAGGAGCGCGACGGGGCCCAGGAGGGGCGCGACGAGGCCCAGGAGGGGCGCTACGGGGCCTGGGAGGGGCGCGACGGGGCCCAGGAGGGGCGCTACAGGGCCCAGGGAGGGCGCGACGGGGCCCAGGAGGGGCGCTACGGGGCCCAGGAGGGGCGCGACGGGGCCCAGAAGGGGCGCTACGGAGCCCAGGAGGGGCGCGACGGGGCCTGGGAGGGGCGCGACGGGGCCCAGGAGGGGCGCTACAGGGCCCAGGAAGGGCGCAACGGGGCCCAGGAGGGGCGCTATGGGGCCTAGGAGGGGCGCGACGGGGCCCAGGAGGGGCGCTACAAAGCCCAGGAGGGGCGCGACGAGGCCCAAGAGGGGCGCTACGGGGCCTGGGAGGGGCGCGACGGGGCCCAGGAGGGGCGCTACAGGGCCCAGGGAGGGCGCGACGGGGCTAGGGGCTAGAGGGGTGAGCGGAAGCGGGAGGTGGGGGGGATCCTACCTACGCGTGATACCATAACAGAATTGAGAAGTTGATTATAGAATGAGAGTACACACAAATATACCGAAGTGTTGTACCCTCTAAGAGGTGACCCTATACAGTCTACACAAACATAACAAATATATACAGTCTATACAAACATAACAAATACACATGTTTGACACTCTGTGCAATGCCCGCCTGGGTGAGCTGATGATGATTTCGCTGCTGAGATACGACATCAACTGGCAAGAGGCGCTGGAGCTGTGGCACGCAAAAAGGAGAAGACCAGCGAAGTCGGTGGTGTTCGCATCACAAGAGAGGAAGCGCCAAGGCAAGGCTCTGCTGGAAGAGGCAGATCAGGAACCTCCAGTGCCAGACTACTTAGGAAAGGATTGGGATGAGGAGGAGGAGGAGGAGGAGGGGGAGAGGGATGGTGGAGGTGCAGTAGCTATAGAAGACAACCCCTTTCTGTCGGATGATGAGGCGGAGGATGTCGTCGCTGTGGATGTGCCAGAGTTCTAGCTAGGCTAGGAAATTAGACTAGGTGTAGGTTAACTGCCCGAATGTTATGAAAAAATGGCGACTAAATGGTAAAATCACGACTCTGATTCATAGGTACTTGTGAACCCTGAAGAAATCAGACTTGAGAGTTACTGGATCCTGAGAAATCAGACTACCAGGAAAACTGAAACATGAGTACTCAGACTTGGGAAAATTTTTTGGGGCTAAAATCAGAGTGGGTTTTTTTGAAACGTCAGCCCTGGGTACAAGCAAACATCCTGAAAAAAAGTGTAAAAAGCGTAAAAATCCTGATATCGTGGGGCCTGCTGTAGACTATATAGGGTTGTGCCTTAGGAAGTACAACCCATTAGGTTGTATTCCCTTGTATGCTTTATTCTAGACATTCTTTCACTTGAACATTGTCTAAGCTGTCATTTCAATGAATTGCAATATTTTGACTGGCCAAAAAAAACACAGTTTCCAAGAGAGCCCTGGGTTTGCCTTTCTAGTCGATGGCTGCTGAATCCTCCCCAGAAACTCCTGACTCAGCAGCTAGCGAAGTCATAGCGTCCTTTTCATCCACACCAATACGGATAGCTGAACGAAAAGGTGCGTGCAGTTGGAGTGTCCACTACGTCTGTCTGTACCCTAGGCGTATTTCTGGATCAACGCGAGCAGCTTATCCTGGCTCGCTCCAACAAGGTCATCCACCTTCTTCCCGTCTTTGAAAACATGAAACGTCGGCATGGCGGAAATCCCGCACTCTTCTGCCACTTTCTGCAAAGTTCAGTCGGGACAACGCTTTAGCACTCTCAAAAGTACGCTATGAAAGGAAAATGGTGAGCAGGTCTCAACAAAAGTGAAAACGGGACGGAGTACGGGTTAAACGAACCGGAAGAGCGTCGACATCCACTTTGAGGAAGATGATCTGCGAGAACTGAGTCGCGTATTGAGCAAAAACAGGACCAATCATCCGGCAAGGGCCACACCAGGTCGCGGTGAAATCTACGATAACCTGAAGCATCGGGACGCACAAAGGAGTGCCAAGAATTCCCCGTTGTAAGAAAACACAATAACGAGGAAACCCGAAACATGGGAGCGCGAGCTTCATCGGGGCTCAGCACCGACGCTGATAGAAATTTGAACGCTGGCAGCTCACCACTTTGCCGTCATTCTTGGAACCGTCGAGGATCGATCTCCACTGCGCCTCGGAGTTGACGACGATAACGCCAGCCATAGATCGTTGCAAAAGGGCACCGAAATGATCGATAAGGAGCGATGAAACGGATAGTCAGAGGGTTCCGTACAGGGCTTCTTAGCGTGCCTTTGATTCACTATGCAAGAGCTACTTTGCTGGTGACATACAATGTCCTAAAACGCCTGCAATTTGACCACACAACATTGGACTCCGAAAACCTAGACCTCTCCAGTGAACTGACTGACGCTGTCTACACGGCACGCCCATTGCGTTCGTGACCAGGCCACACAAGTCACCCCAACCAGAAAGCAACCTTCGCGAAGGAATACACGGACTGACGGCCAAGATACTTCCACCTCACCTTCGCAGTGTCAAGCGTTGACGCATAGTAGCTGGTCCAATACTGTATTATTGACAGATACGTGCAGAATTGGTTGTAGTTTTGGTTGTACAACCTATGAGTCTCACAGTTGTATATTCCACCTGAAATTACAATACTCTCGTAAGATCCTTCACATATTGGACAAAATGCACTCGCCAAGCTTTTAATAGCTTTGTTTTATGCCGCTTCATAAAAATAGTACATTACCCACAGCAATACGGTGAGACGGACAATAGTGAGCCTGACAATAGTGTGTCACATTCCAGCTCGTATCAGGTGGTTCCCGCCTTCGCCAGGACAAAGGCTTCGCACAGAAGCGACCCAATCCCCAAAACCGAGACTGGCCTTGCTGTTCCGGATAACATCGCCCTGCCTTGTTGGTTCGGACCAGGGCTCTGGCTAAAAGGGCAATCACCTCTAATATCAATAAATTTAAAAAGTTATTTCCGAATTTATTTCGTTTTTGCATAGTAATATTCGATTGATTCCTCTTCCTAATAGACTACTTCTCGTGTGATTCCTTGAGATTACGGGTACTTTACTTTGTTTCCGTAAATCTGTACCCGTAAGTGCACTTGTAGTAAATCTGTTCGTAGTGGTGTATCACCCCTTCCTGACTTCTCTTACAGTTCCCTAACCCTCCGCTATGCAAAAAGAGGGGCTAGCTCGCGGGGAGTTTTTTAACTCTTCCAAACCGCTCGAGACGTAGTATGTGCGAGAAAGAGTTCCTGGGGGTTCTAGGGATTTTCCTTAGCTGTGGTGAAGGGCATTCGTCTTCGACGAATCCGTATGCTAACGGGTAATTTTTCGGCGATTCCGTCTGCTAACGGGTAATTTTGCGGCCGATTCCGTGACCTAACGGAATATCCTAGGCTTAGCGAGAGCCCTGGTTCGGACGAGTTTTGCGTGTGATTGGTTTGTCCGTGTTCAACGGCCCCAAGTTTGCTTCGTTGTGTACAGAAGTGGCACCTAGATACTGTAACGCGTCGCATGCGTCGTGTAGCCAACAAAGGCCGAGGTGTTCGAACAAAAGGATAGTCGCCCAGATTCCAAAATCCGGGATGGCCAATCAATTTTGCCAGTTGCAGGAAATGCGACTGCTACAGAGTTCCACGTTTTGCACGTTCGAGCAACAACGAGTTTCCGATCCACTTTCTGCGCTGGCATCGCGGCAGGACTTCCATTTCATGATTTCATGGGAGAGATGGGGTGGGGGAGGGAGGGGGAGGAAGAGGGGGTTGGGCTTGGGTTTGTGGAAGGAAGAGGAAGCAAGGAGGTGGGGGGAGATGGAGGGAGGGCCCACAGGGAGAGGGAAGAAAGGCTGGGAGCGGAGAGAAATTGGGGGCAGGCCATTTTTCTTCAGGATCGTTTACCCGGAGAATTCAGGTTCGTGTACCCGGAGAATTCAGGTTCGTGTACCCGGAGAACCTTGAACATAGAGTCCTGTGTCGATATTTTCTACTCAGGTTCGGATGTGAGTCACGTGCCCTGTCAGACACGCTGTACGATATTCCTGGTCTAAGCGCTGCAGGCAAGCATCCCAGAATCTCACCGCCTACCGTGAGGTCCCCTGTAACAAGACGCCTGCGAGAAACTCCACGCAAACGCTTGGAAGTTCGAATTTGCCTTGAAATGACAGGGAGTTCTCAAACGAAAATGTTGACCGGTGCAAAGAGAAGATAATGAGGAAGGAGGGCCCACCCACCCACCCACCCACCCCCAAACCAAACCCTCCCCAACCAAACCCCAACCACAGCAGCAGCAGCAGCAGAAAAACTGACTCCATGCGGCTACAGCAGCAGCAGCTTTCACGAGGTAAGCTAAGCGTGTGTGGTGGGTATGAGCAGTTGCAGTCCAATAAAGGATTTTGTTGTACTGCCAGCTTTTAGTATCAATATGCTGTGATTGGCCTGTTTCCCGCATCGTCGATCAAGCTGTAGGGGTTATTTGATGATACACCGTCGATTGATTACGCGTAGGTTAGGTTAGGTTAGGTTAGGTTAGGGTACCTCTTGACTTTCGTCGCTTCTATTTTTATGGACGTGGTAGAGTGGATGGCACGCAGATTGGGGCCGACGCATCCGCATGATTAGCTTTTCGCCTGCGGCCTGATTTGAATTTGCGAGTGGGTACATCTATTATTTACCTTGTGAGTCGATATTCCATGATCACTTAGCACGTCCGTTGCACTTCGACCGCGCTGACGACCTTTTGCTACCCTATGTTCCAGGTACTAGCACATCAAGATGATACGCCTTATTCTTTACGGTGCCGCGTTGTTTTTGGTCAGCGGTTTGGTAAAATGGCTTTACCCTCTGCTGACTTACTGGCGACGCGGCAACAAGTTCCCAGGGCCTAAGTGCCAGTCCTTCTGGGGAAATCTTAAGGAGATTAAGGACGCTGGCGGCATGAGTGGCATGAAAGGTAAGCTTCTACGTCCCATCTCTTTCGGTCCCTCTGGAGGACTTACCCTCCTATAGCGAGCCTTAAATCAGCAGCCTGCGTTTTTTGCTCGGTTAAAAGCGGGAAAAACGCCGATACTTTCTGTAAAGAAATCCGGAAATTCACTTTGTTGATTTCGTCGTATCCTCGTTAGTTTCCTCTTCAGTGACTCACTTCCCGTGTAACTCGTCATGCCGTTTCGCAGATGTTCTCGCCGCCATGCACGCGAAGTACGGCCCTGTCGTGCGGCTGTGGCTGAATCCCGTGAGGCTGCTTATATCGGTGGAGGATCCGCAGCAGGTTCGCAACGTGCTTATGCATGCACGGGAGCGGTCCCCGCTATACTGCCGCGTGATCGAAGCGTGTATCGGGGAAAACTCTGCTTGCTTTTCCACCTTCATTCAGGTACGTTCCTCGAATTTCGAGAAAGCTCGTTTTACGTTCAGAATAAGAATTTTTTACATTTTTTGTTATAAGCTTCTCTGTTTTCGTTCTGACAAGTTTCTAAGACCGTCGTCAACCTTTCCCCAGGTAAATCCCTTTCTACGCTTAATCCTTCGGTACTATTGTCGCACGCGGCGAAGTTTAAGTCCGCTCACAGGCCACCAATTCCCTGTCCGCTCCGCAGCCGCGCGCGCGCCTGTCGACCCTGGACTACCACTGCCACACGCTCGAGTTCCAGGTGCACGAGGTGACTTTTGAGCCGGCTCATTGACCATCCATTCCCTCCACGCTGCCACCCACCCCCTTCCTTCCCTCTTCCCATCCCCGCAGCCGCGCGCGCGGCGCTCGTTCCTGGATTACCACTGCCACACGACGCTCAAGTTCCAGGTGCACGAGGTGACCTGCCGCGTCGCGGCCGTCACCGCGCGGGAGTGGGGAACGCTCTCCGCATCTGGCGGCGAGCTGGACGTGACTCAGGCGTCTAAGGACATGGTGGTCGGGGTTTTAGGAGGGTCTTTATTCGGCCCGGCTTTCCCCGACTCGGATCTGCGAAACCGCCTTGCGAACGATCTGGAGTTTTTCGCGCACTCGGTTCAGGACTTTTCGAGTTACGGTTTTCTCCCGGCGTGGTTACCGGCGTACCGGGAGCTCATGCGCGTGGCGGAGGACTATAGGGGGGCGATCCACCAGCTTGTATCGGGTTCGTTTGCCAAGGACGTGAAGCAGCCAAGGGGGCACGGTCAGGGAACCGGCCAGGGAACCAGTGAGGGATCTGACGAATCGGAACGTGCAGCTGATAGTAGCAGTGGTGGTGGGGATACCAAGGGTTCGGAGGCCCAGGCAGAGCAGCAGCAGCAGAAGCAGCAGCTGGAGCAGGAGCAGCAGCCGCAGTTACTGCGAGAGAGTTTCCTCTCTGCGATGCTAGCAGAACGCTCTGCTTTAGGCCAACCCGTTTACACGCAAGAAGTCGCTCAGGCCGAAGCAGCCGCGCTCATGTTCCACGGCTATCTGCTTATCCCCGCGCTCTTAAAACGCGTACTAGTCTGCCTCTCCCTCCACCCCGAGGTCCAGGACCGCGTTTTCCGCGAGATCCGCGCTGTGTGCGGTAACGAGGCGCCTAAAGACGAGGATTTGCTGCGGCTGGATTACCTGAACGCGGTGATCTATGAGGCGGCGAGAACCTTGCCTGTTTTGCCCATGATCACGCGCGCTGCTGTGAATGAGGACCTATGGCTGTCCATAGCCAGTAGCAGCGGCAGCGGCGGCAGCAGCGGTAGCAGTGGTGGTGGGGATGAGAGTAGAGGCTGGGAAACGGGTGGTAATGGTAGCGCGGGAGGTGGTAACGGGGATGGGGTGGGCCCTGAGGATGCCGGAAGCGGCAGCAGCAGCAGCAGCAGCTTCCATTTAGTGCCGTCTGGAGCGATACTAGCACTGCCGACGTACCAGCTACAGCTGAACCCGATCCTGTGGGGCAGCGACGCAGCAGAATTCAACCCGGACAGGTTCATCCACTTCCGCTGGCAAGGCTCGCACCAGAAGCAGCAGTACCACGACCCCCGCTCGCACTCCTTCAAAAGGGACACTCGCACGGGGCTGGGGGCAGTGGGGCGTCGGGAGGGGCCGCAGAGGGTGAAGGAAGAGGGAGTGGGGAAGCAGGGGGGAGTGGGTGCGAGTCCGTGGAGGGAAAAGATGGTCCCGGGGCATGACTATGAGTTTGTGGCGCCTGAGCCTGGCCCGCAGTTCCTGGTGTTTGGAGCCGGTGCGCGGTCGTGTGTGGGGCAGCGCTTGTCGCTCAAGATCATCCGCGCTGCTGTTGCCGTCCTGCTGCACCGCTTTGAGGTATGTACGTGGGTTTGAGTCGAGCCAAAAGCTCCTTGTGTTTGGGGCCTATGTGTCTGTGCGTTCGTGTTTGGGGCGTATGTGTGTGTGTGTGTGTGTGTGTGTGTGTGTGTGTGTGTGTGTGTGTGTGTGTGTGTGTGTGTTCGTGTGTGGGGCAGCGGCTCTCTCTCCCACCCATCCTGCATTCGAGCCCTTATCCCCCCTTAGGATTTTTTTTTAACCTAACAGCATGCCACACATCAATCCCTCGTTTTCACGCCTCATTGCCTAACATCTTCCGCCCTGCGCCTCTCTCCCGCCCCCCCCACCCCTCCCCTGGTCCCCGCAGTTCTCCATGTCGCCAGACATGCCTCTGACTTCGGCACGCGTCTTGAGGCGCTTTAGAAACCGGCTCATCACATGCGCTTACATACTCTCCACCATGCGCTTCTCTCCCCCCACCTGTCCCCTGGCCCCTGCAGTTCTCCATGTCGCCTGACATGCCATCTGACTTCGACACGCGCCTTGAGTTCATGGTGCTGCACCTGCACCCCACGCCCCGCCTCAAGCTCGCCATGCGCTCTTAGCCGCCGTCTCGCCACTCATAGCTCCTCCCTCCGCCTCCTAGCTTCGCTCTCCTCCCCTCCCTCGCGTCGTTCACCTGGGTTTGGCATGGTGCTTCTTCACCTGCGCCCCACGCCACGCCTCATGCTCGCCCTGCGCTCCTAGTCGGTGTCTAGCTCCATTCCCAGCCGCTCCCTCTTGCCATCCGCTCATAGCTGTTCTCGCCCTCCGCTCATAGCTGTTCTCGCCCTCCGCTCATAGCTGTTCTCGCCCTCCGCTCATAGCTGTTCTCGCCCTCCGCTCATAGCTGTTCTCGCCCTCCGCTCATAGCTGTTCTCGCCCTCCGCTCATAGCTGTTCTCGCCCTCCGCTCATAGCTGTTCTCGCCCTCCGCTCCTCACCTTTCCCTCCCTCCCTGCGCGCTCCTACTTGTGCGTCCTGCTTCCCCTCCACCTCTGGGGATCTCTCACCTCTTTCTACTCCCTTGGCCACTAGGACGTTTGGCCTCTCATACTCCCCTAGGTTCCTTCACTTTCCACCTTATGCATTGGCCCACACCTCCTCTCTCGCTCTGTCACACACACCGCATCTGCACTCCCCAGCGTTGCTGCCACATCAATGTAGCAACAGCTGGTGTTACCTGTAGCAACCCTTCATAGACAGTTCCTTCTCTAATCGCCCTATGGTAACGGTGTTACCACCACCTCCGGTTACAGTGCTAGGGGGTCTTCTCATGCCCCCGGCTGGTGCATGAAGCGCCAGAAGCAGCACGTTTTGCTGGAAGAACCGAAGGGATTGTAGCAAAAGCAGCAGCAGTGGCAGCAGCAGCAGCAGCAGCAGCAGCGGTGGCGCAGCAGCAGCAGCAACAGCAGCAGCGGCGACGGCGGCAGCAGCAGCAGCAGCAGCGCTTGATACCCTTGAGTTCTTTCCCAGCGAGCCTCACCTTTGTCCGGACACCTCTGGAGCAGACGGTGTTTTTGGGGGAGAGGAGCCGGCAGTTTCGTCTCCCCCTTTCCCCCTCTGGTTTGTGTGTTGCAGCAGCAATTCTTGTTCCCTTGCTGGGTGCCGATGCTTTTGCCCAGAGTTGGGTGGCGTTTGGCCCTGCTTTTACCATAAGCGTGTAGCATGTTCGGGGTCTGCACCTGCGCTGATCTCTGGGCATTGGAGGGTTGTATCTTTTGGAGCATGCATGCATGCACTCTGCTGTGCCCCGGCGGGTACTTCTCCGCACCGCTCCATGCATCCACCCTTTTTGAATCTTTAATGCGATGTGGTCGAGGTCTAGTGGTAGACGTAGTGAAGTGCAGCTAACCTGTTGAATGGGCTGAAAGTGAATTGGTAGTAGTGATGGGCGTTTGCATGTCTGTGCAGAGCATGCAGTTACACCACCAGACCAGAGCCATCAGGTAGGAATGAATCTTCCCAGCACGTGGTCTCACTTTTCACCAAAGCTTTCTGCCTGGCCATCCACCAGGCAGATTCACCTCCACCTACAGCTATCTCCATCCAGGCCAGGGTCCTTCCCTTCCCGTGACATTTACTAGTTACAACTTCAGCTGCGTTCCCAGTACAGTTATAATCCATCTAAGTGAAACGAGCTACTTCCACTTCCTCCTAGGAGGACGGGCAAGAGTCTTCCTCGACCACGCACTCTCATCTCTCCCTGGTATCTCAAACATCTCATTCTCGGCCCCTTTCATCCTCAGCGCCTTCACACAGCTCTCTGCCAATACTACCCCCTACTGGGAAATAGTCTCCTACCCCATTCACTTCCCAGCAGGAGCAGAGGCAAGAATCTTTTCCCACGCGCCCTCATCACTCCCCGGCCCCTCCCCTTCCACGGAAAGCAACTCAAACACCTCATTCTCGGCCTCTTTCACCCCCAGCGCCTGCACACAGCACTCTGCCAACGTTACCCTGCTAGTCTCCCCTGAAAGGGTATCGCTCCCTCTCCTCACCTCCACAGCTTTTCTCATCCCGGCCGTCGCCTTGAGGAGAGTGTTCAGGTCGTAGCTGGTGTAGGGCCCGTCTGTCAGCCGGCCCGGGCGCAGGATAGTGTATGGAATGCCCGAGGATTTCACGAGGTCTTCGGCCATTTTCTTGTACTTGAGCACCCCGAAGAGGTTGAGGATGTTGTAGGGCAGCTGGTTGTAGCGCTCGACGCCGGCGGATGAGACAAAGATGATGCGAGAGAGGGTGCTGGGGAGGGCTGCTAGGAGATTCTTCACTCCGATGTAGTCTGGATGGGGATTGAGGGAGGGTGTTTGGGGAAAGGGGAAAGAACGAATGAGCCTTGGGGATAAGCAGGCAAGGGGGAGAAGCAGGGAGAGGGGACGGAGCACTCCGACGGGGTTGAGGATGCTGTAGGGGGGTTGGTTGTAGCGCTCCACTCCAGCTGTAGACATGAGTACCAGGCGTAAAAGGTCTTCATCGCGTGCTGCTAGAAGATTCTCCACTCCGATGTGGGGAATCGATCGGGAGAAGACGGGAGTGGGGTGGAGGGATGATGGTGGTTGAGAAGGGAGGAAACCGATGAGCCTTCCACCAAGTGGGAATGGGCAGGGAAGGGGAGAGAGTCAGGGAGAGGAGAAAGAGCACCTCGAAGGGGTTGAGGATGCTGTAGGGCAGCTGGTTGTGGCGGTTGACACCAGCAGATGGGACAAAAGACAAGGCGAGACAGGACACGCAGGAGAGCGGCTAGGAGGTTCTTCCCTCCGACGTAGTCCGGAGAAAGGGCGGGAGATGGGAGTTGAGAAGGGGAATATCTGAAGGTTATTATGGACCTGGTTGCAAGGGGGGTTTATTTATCGCTTCGAAGGGCGAAGGCAATGGCCCACACACACATGAGAACCGCGGATACACCAGTAGGCGTGAAAGAAGCATGATCACTCACGCACCTGTTTCCTCCTGTCCGTTGTTCCCATCGCATCGCTTGCAAGGGAAAGCAGTTTTGAGGCGCCTCAAAACTAGACTTCCCCATCGCATCGCTTGCAAGGGAAAGCAGTGGTCCCTAACGCAGACAATAGCCGAGGGAATGCTGGTGAGAAGTCCGGGCGAGATGAAACCATCTGCTCACGAAGGCTCACCTGTCTGCTCTGGTCCGTTGTCCCCGTCCCATCGCTTGGAGGAGGAATGCAGTGGTCCCTACGCAGATGATAACCGCGGAGACTCCAGCGTAAAGAGCGGGCGAGATGGTGCCAGGCTGGCGCCGGTCCGTGGACCCCCCTGTAAGAGCGAAGAAAGCATGGGACCTCACCCGTCTGTTCTGGCCCGTTGTCCCCATCCCATCGCTTGGAGGGGAATGCAGTCGTCCCAACACAGACCATGACCGCGGAGACTCCGGCGGAGACTCCGGCGGAGACTCCGGTGGCGGAGACTCTGGCGAAGAGAGCAGGTTGTGGGAGGGAGGGGGCACTCACCCGTCTGTTCTGGCCCGTTGTCTCCATCCCATCGCTTGGAGGGGAAAGCGGTCGTCCCAACACACACTATAACCGCGGAGACCCCGGTGAAGAGCGCGGGGGAAATGGTGCCAGGCTGGCGGAGGTCCGCAGAGACGATCTGAATCAAATCCGCCGGCGCGTCCGCGAAGAGCGCCTCGGCCTTTTCCACACTGCGAACCAGCGCGCGCACGGGGAGGCTCTTCGATAGGAGGGAGGCGACGCAGAGCTGCCCAACGCCGCCGGACGCGCCGACGACGAGCACACGCTCTAGCGGCTTCGACGACGACGACGGCGACGACGGCGATACTTTGGGGGTGTCGCTCGCGGCTGCGGCGGAGATTACTGCGACGCGGGAATGGGTGGATTGGCGGCCGTGATCGAAGGGGCGTGTGGGGATTAGCCGGGAGGAGAGGTTGAGAGATGCGGAGGATGATAGGTGAGGGGACGCGGAAAGTGCGGGGAGGATGGTGGAAGGTTGTCTAGCGGCGAGGCGCGCATTGGCGCGCACTGAGGATGGAAATTTCGCGTCAGTAGAGGAGACAATGGAATGACACAGGGAGGAGGTGGGAGCGAGAGCAGCCATTGGTACTAGGCAGCAAGGTGCGCCCGCAATGCTCTATGTCCCAGTCCCCAGTGGAGATACGGAGGAGTATGTATGAAGGAGTAGACTAAGACGACACGAGTAGGTGAGCTGCGAAGGCGAGGTGAGAGCAGCTCGAAAACTGACCCAGGGAATGCGCAGCAGCGTGGTGCGGAATTTGTGAAGGGTGTCAGTTTCCTGGCGAGGTGTGATATTTGAAGTTCAAGGTGTTAGCCCGTATCTTGCCATCTTTCGGCGAGTCTTATTCTCGAAGTTCGCTTTCAACCCCGGATCAGTTACCCGTTTTTCGACTGCAAGCAGGCTGTCTTGGGGGTTCGTGAATATCGTGGGCATGCATGTGGCATACAGGAAGGCCAATGGACTGTGAACAGCCAATAAACGGCCTCCGAGTGTTGTGAAGCTCCAACCGCACTAAATTACGAACACGACCTTCCAGAATCTCATTCACAGTCTTGTGGTGCCCAAGCAGGCCACGTCAGACTCAGCGCCCACACACGGAGGTGCATCCACCTAGGAGCTGGGAACTCGCTAATATTCAACTCGCTTACCGTACAAAACTTCGATTGTTGTACCACACGTCGTGTTGGTTTGGCAAAGGAGTATATTTCCTTTTCAACAATGATTTTTACTCTTCTTTAGCTGACCTGCCGCTCGAGTCCTCGTCTTCTTGTGCTGTGCCAGCTCACATCAGCAGCCCACATTTTCATTTGCCTCGTTCCGTTGCCTCCCTCCATGACCCTGACGGGGCCATGAGTTCGTGACGCTATCTTCTGGCCAGCCATGTCGCCTTTCCACTTACGGCGTCGCTCGTGGTGCGCCGTGTTTGGCCATCTTGAGCGGTCGTTCCACAGTAACCCACGTGTCTTCGCCTCGCCGTCGTTACAAACCGTTTCTCGCGCGACGCGCCAGACCGACCATCGGAGCTTAGTAACGACCAACCATGATTCGTTATTTTCACCCGAACCTCGCTATAAGCCGCGTATTCGCTTCCCATGGCGTCACCAGCTGGCGTACGATTCGGCTCAGAAGTCACTGACTCCTTGCTGCAGCCACAGCACCGCCGCCTTTCGTGATCCGCTATTAGCTTCCGCAATTAGCGCACGTAGCCTCGCTTCTGGAACAGCCTACTCGAGGGACCATAGACCAACTAGCCGCGATTTTCTCGGATCTCGACTTAAAGAAACAGGAATTCATGGCTCCTCCTCGCCGTCAGTACACGCCTGGGCGAGATTTCACTCGAGCTCGAATGGTGCTGACGTGGCGCGATCGAACCCCGAGGTCACTGCGTCAGCCGTGTCCCCAGACGAAGACGGGGAAGCAGCAGCGGGTGACAATAGCGAGGGTGCCGCAGCGGGCGACAGTAGCGAGAGTGCAGCAGCGGAGGTGGAGGAGCCGAGCATGCCGGTAGTGGCGATGGCTGACAGCCGTCCGATCGTTGTGATCGTAGGGCGACCCAACGTCGGCAAGTCAGCTCTGTTCAACAAGTAAGCAGGCAAGCAGGCAAAACCCTAAAGGGCCACGCCCAGAAAATGTAACTTCCCCCACAACCCCCCCCCCTCTCCCCCCTTTCCCCCTCCCTTTTCAACCCTTCTGAGGCTGATGCGGCGAAGGGAAGCGTTAGTATGCGACACCCCGTACGAGGCGTACGCGTTAGTATGTCCCACATGACCAGGGACGTGCCTCCCATGCTCCTGTTTGCATGCCTACTTCCCCTGTCCCCTTCCCTGCCGTCCATTGCAGGCTCATGCGGCGGAGGGAGGCGCTCGGCTGGTGTGCGACACCCCCCACGGCCCACGGCCCACGGCCACATGACCAGGGTCCAGGGACGACTCTTCCACGCTCCTCTCTGCTTTTGAGTTGACTCAAAAACAGGCTTCTTTCTGGCATCCTCCCTCCCCTTCCCCCACCCATTCCCCTTCCCCCACCCATTCCCCTGCTCTCCCCCCATTCCCCTTCCCCCACCCATTCCCCTTCCCCCACCCATTCCCCTGCTCTCCCCCCATTCCCCTGCTCTCCCCCCATTTCCCTCCCCAACCTTAGGCTCATGCGGCGCAGGGAGGCGCTGGTGTGCGACACCCCCCACGGCCACATGACCAGGGACGTGCGGGAGGGGCTCTGCACCTTCTTTGGCCTCCGCTTCCGAGTCTTTGACACAGCAGGACTCGAACCCGCGACCTCTGCCTCCCACAAAGGGCAGAGCCAGGGACAGACTGGTTCTGGGGTGGGGGGAAGAGATGGGGGGGATGGTGGCGTGGGAAGGGTTTTGGGGCCGAGCCTGCTGGAGAGTTTAGGGGAGGCGGATCGTGCGGCGATGGAGGCGTCGATTCTGCAACGGACGGCTGAGATCACTTCGTACTTGCTGGGGCAGGCAGTGGCGGTGCTGTTTCTCGTGGATGCCAGGTGCGGTGTGAAGAGAAGTGCTTTGGTTGAGACAGCATGACCCCCATTCAATCTCGGTTGGTTAATCCCGCTTAGGACGCCAGGTGAGGTGATGATGTGCTTCACAAGGTGAGGTGATGATGTGCTGCTCAATTTCGTTTTGAGTCGACTCAAAGTGATGATGTGCCCTAAGACGCTGTAAAAATCCAATCTTCATCGCACTCTCCACTTCCCCTTTCTCTCTTCCCCCTGTCCTTCTCACTAAAGTTACTTATTCTCTTCCCTCCCCCCCTTCCGCCCCCCCCCCTTCCTCCACTCCCCCCATCCCTCCCCTCCTCCCTGCCACCATCCCTACCTGGGTGCTCCCTTCCTGCAGGTCTGGCATTCAACCTGCTGACGTGGAGGTCGCTGATTGGCTGCGCCGCTCCGTCCCAAAGCACCGGGTGGTGCTGCTGGCGAACAAGTGCGAGGGGCTGGGTGGCGACAGCACAGGCCTGCTGGCGTGCCACGTGGCGGAAGCCTATTCGCTGGGGTTCGGGGACCCGATACCCATATCTGCTGAGTCAGGGGAGGGATTGGAGGATCTGTATGCGGCTGTGAAGGGACCAGTGGAGGAGAGGGAGAGAGATATGGAGGAAATGCGGGAGGAGAGGGAAAGAGATATGGAGGAGAAGGAGCGGGAGGGGAGGGAGGAACGGATTATGTCTGTTTCAGGTGAGGGGGATCGTTGATGTGCGCTGGTTTGAGGATCTGTATGCTGCTGTGAGGGGACCAGTGGAGGAGAGGGAGAGGGAGAGGGAGGAAATGCGGGAGAGGGAGATGGAGGAGAGGAGGAAGTAAGAGTTAATCGAAGCGGGGGAGGAGGAGGGGTGGGAGGAATGAATGATGGCTGTTCCAGGTGAGTGAGGGCCTGATGGGATTGGATTCAGGGATCTGCATGCTGCTGTGAGGGGACCAGTGGAGGAGAGGGCGGGAGAGGGAGAGGGAGATGAGGGAGGAGAGGGAGAGGGAGAGGGAGATGAGGGAGGAGAGGGAGAGGGAGAGGGAGATGAGGGAGGAGAGGGAGAGGGAGAGGGAGAGGGAGATGAGGGAGGAAAGGGAGAGGGAGAGGGAGAGGGAGATGAGGGAGGAGAGGGAGAGGGAGAGGGAGAGGGAGATGAGGGAGGAGAGGGAGAGGGAGAGGGAGAGGGAGATGAGGGAGGAAAGGGAGAGGGAGAGGGAGAGGGAGATGAGGGAGGAGAGGGAGAGGGAGAGGGAGAGGGAGATGAGGGAGGAGAGGGAGAGGGAGAGGGAGAGGGAGAGGGAGATGAGGGAGGAGAGGGAGAGGGAGAGGGAGAGGGAGATGAGGGAGGAGAGGGAGAGGGAGAGGGAGAGGGAGATGAGGGAGGAGAGGGAAGGGAGAGGGAGAGGGAGATGAGGGAGGAGAGGGAAGGGAGTAAGTCAGCAGTTTCAGGTGAGGGAGTTTGTGCGTGTGCGAATCCATATGCAGCAGTGAGAGCCTTTGCTCTGTTTTCTCACACGCCCATCACTAGTACAGAGGCAATGAGGCAACACTTTTTCCAATGTAGCTGCTGAGGTGTGAGGCCTGCCAACACATCTCACAAAACAGGCGTGAGGCTTGAGCCTGGGCCTGGGCAACAACGGACGACCTGGGCCGGGCCTGCTGTTGAGGCGCCTCTGAAGGAGCGACCCATCGGATTTCCAGCGTGATGCGTTTTTGCCTTCCACGTCCTCTCTCGGATGTTTTTGGTTTTTGAGAATTCTCAAAAACCTTCCATGTCCTCTCTCGGATGTTTTCTGCAGCACAGGAATCAGCCGGCTGACAAAACAGGGCGAATCTGCGGCGTCTTTGCCAGATGGCGAGGGCTCTGCAGCAGCAGTGGATGATGCTGCCGCCGTTGCCACAGCTCTGGAAATGGCAGCAGCAGATGCATCCCAAGCACCAGCAGCAGAGGAAGAGGCAGAGCAAGCAGCAGCAGAGGCGCTGGACATACCGCTACAGCTGGCCATAGCGGGTCTGCCCAACGTGGGCAAGTCAACGCTGGTCAACTCTCTTCTGGGTGCGCAGAGGGTGCTGACAGGGCCGGAGCCGGGGCTCACGAGAGATGCGGTCCGGATCGGCATCACGTACCAGGGGAAACCCATGTGGCTGGTGAGTGGGTGGGAGCGGGGAGGAAGGGTGGGTGTTCCACTATAGTCGCAGAGGGTGCTGACAGGGCCGGAGCCGGGGCTCATGAGAGATGCTGTGAGGATCGGCATCACGTACCAAGGGAAACCCATGTGGCTGGTGAGTGGGTGGGAGTAGGCTTGAGCATAGACCCGACCCGACCCGACCCGACCCGACTTTGCCCCACCCGAAGTCGGGTGCGGGTCGGGTCGGGTCGGGTCAAGTCGGGTTTTAGGTCTGAAAAAACCAACCCGACCCGGGTTTGAAGGGTCGGGTTTAAAGAAACCCGATGTCGGGTCGGGTCGGGTCGGGTTATAGCAGGGCAGGAACAGGTTTTTGGACCCGTCGGTTTATTTTATGTGTTTGGGGTCACCCAGGTGGGTTTTATACTGTTTGGTGACCGTGTCTACGTGGCTTTGTTCATTGAGCTACCCTAACAAGTAGCATTTGGTTGTGCGTTGTAAAACACAATTGCTAGCCTGATATGTGACTACACTGACGTCGTGTAGCACGGACGTCGTGTCTAACACTGAAGTTTGCCCTTATGTTGCAAGTCTAGGGCTGCACAAATCACACACACAGCCCAACCATTTCGGCCAGCCATGAAACCTCCATCATCCCCCTCTCCAAAATGAGGCCATCACAACCCAAAGTCCTCACCCTCGATGCAAAGCTCCTTCAATGCCTGTGCTGCTGCCGGCCCCAGGAGCTGCTCACCCTGGTGCTCTGTCATCCATGACTTGATCGTCATGGATGCACGCACCTGGGAGGCGCTCAACCGGTGGCACTGCCACGACACTATGCCTCGCCCCTGACTAAACGCTCTCTCGCTAGCAGCAGATGTGGCCGGGATCGCCAAGTAGTCGCGAGCCATGGCCCGTAGGCCAGGCAGGTCTACCCTGTTGTGCCAGAATTTTAGGGGGCAGCCAACCTTAAGCCGGGGCTCCGCTAGGTACCTCTCCAGCTCATCGGGTGCCTTGACCCCCGCCGATGCCGCCTGCTTGTCCATCCTGGCGAACAGCTCGTCCACCAGATCATCCCCCCCTCCCACAACCGAACTGCCGCCCTCGCCCCCGGCGCCACACTCGACATGAACCGCTGTAGGTCTGCTGGTCCCCTCCGTCCCCTCTGTCTCCCCACCGCCCTGCAGCTTAGCCAAGTACCTGCCGAGACGCTTCCGAACCAGCTTCGCCACCCTCTCCTCGTCCAGCACAGGGACCACTCTGGCCGTGCCTGCAGTGTCGGTGGCCAGCTGCTCGTTCTCTGCCTCCCACCGCGGAAGCCTAAAGTAGTGCTTGTAGCGGGGGTCGAGCATGGTGGCCACTGCCAGCTCCTTCGCCACCCCGTACTCGTACTTCTTCAGGACCTCCAGCGCCTCCCATGCCATGTCTTTAATCACAGGCGTGGTCTTCTTGCTGTGGTACATCGTCTCGAGGTTGTCGATGAGCAGGTTGTACTGAGGGACTACCGCGGCAGCTGTTGGATACAGCGATCCCTCAGCCGCTGTGGTGAGGGAGTTGAACGACTTAAGAAAAGCTGCCACCTCCACAAGGGTCTCCCAATGGTCGTCCCTCAGGTGGTACTTGCTATGGGATTCTGCCTGCTTCTTGGAGGAGCTTCCGGGCTGGAGGGTTCAGCGGGGTGGACACGGGACAGGGGGGGGGGGAAATAGGAGAGGAAGGACAGAGTGAGATGTGAGGGCATGCCTTTTTGGCATGCCATTAGCCATGTGTCATGCCATGCCATGCCATGCCATGCGCCATGCCATGCCATGCCATGCGCCATACCATGCCATGCCATGTCATGTCATGTGCCATGCCATGTGCCATGCCATGCCATGCGCCATGCGATGCGTCATGCCATGCCATGCCATGCCATGTCATGCCATGCCATGCGCCATGCCATGCCATGTGCCATGCCATGCCATGCGCCATGCCATGCCATGTGCCATGCCATGCCATGTGACATGCCATGCCATGCGCCATGCCATGCCATGTGCCATGCCATGCGCCATGTCATGTCATGTGCCATGCCATGCGTCATGCCATGCCATGCGCCATGCGATGCGCCATGCCATGCCATGCCATGCCATGTCATGCCATGCGCCATGCCATGCCATGTGCCATGCCATGCCATGCGCCATGCCATGCCATGCGCCATGTCATGTCATGTGCCATGCCATGTGCCATGCCATGCCATGCGCCATGCGATGCGCCATGCCATGCCATGCCATGCCATGCCATGCCATGCCATGCCATGCCATGTCATGCCATGCCATGCCATGCCATGTCATGCCATGCCATGTGACATGCCATGCCATGTGCCATGCCATGCCATGCGCCATGCCATGCCATGTGCCATGCCATGCCATGTGACATGCCATGCCATGCGCCATGCCATGCCATGTGCCATGCCATGCCATGTGACATGCCATGCCATGCGACATGCCATGCCATGCGCCATGCCATGCCATGTCATGTCATGTGCCATGCCATGCGTCATGCCATGCCATGCCATGCCATGTCATGTCATGTGCCATGCCATGTGCCATGCCATGCCATGCGCCATGCCATGCCATGTCATGTGCCATGCCATGCCATGTGCCATGCCATGCCATGCGCCATGCCATGTAATGCGCCATGTCATGCTTACCTCCGGCCGCGACAAGTACACCATGAGGGCCGTCTTGAGGTCGATAGCACGCCTCAGCATGTCATAGGTGGAGCCCCAACGAGTGGGTGTGTCAGTCATGAGTCGCAGCACCCCCACGCCTGGGCCGTCCGCAACTCGAAGCTGGTCCTCCTCGAAACGCTCCGAGCGCGTGACAGACCACCCAACATGCGTAGCGAGGTCCCTCAGACGCTTCAGCGGCTCGGCGACCGCCCCCACTGCTAATGCCCGTTGAACCGCCAGGTTCAAGATGTGCGCAAGGCACCTGTGGGAATGGGGGGGACAGGCGGTATTTGGCAAGAATGGCGGGAATGGGTGGGAATGTGGCAAGGGCCGAGCGATCACGGGTTCAGTCAGGGTCATATTTGCATGACATAAGCTCGCAATTAATAGGCACGAGATAGAGTGGAAGCGCATGCAAGGAGCTCTCTTTCTAACACATTACCTGAAGTGCATGTTCTTCTGCAGGATTGCATTGGTGGTGCGGGCCCTCGGGTATGTCTTGTCGCCCGCCAGGATCTTGAAGGCCTTGGCATTGTTCTCGGCGTTGTCTGTCGTCACGCCGAAGACTTGGTCTAGCAGCTGCCAGTCGATGAGTACCCTCTCGAACAAATCAGCAATGAGATCTCCTGTGTGGGACCCATGCAGCTGCTCAAACTCGAACGTTGCCTGGCGCAACTTGAAGTCCGAGGTGATGTAATGGCCGGTGACCGCCATGAAGGCTTGCTTGCTGGGGCTGGTCCAGATGTCAGTCGTGAAGGAAACCTTCCCTGCTGCCCCGTCTCCAACCACCTCCTGCTGCAGCCACTCGCGTGCAGCATTCCCATGCGTCAACATGTCCCGCGCTAGTCGGAAACGACTGCCGAGCATGCCGGCAACTTGTGGGTTCAGCAGCGAGCAGAACCGCTGGAACTGTGGGTGGGATGGGTGTGGAAAGGCGGAGAGGACAGCAATGATTGAGTCATTGGATGGTTTGCAGACAAGGGAACACAACAAGTGTAGGCCAGCAAGCTCTACGAAATCTCCAATCCAAGCAGACAAGGGCTTACCGAAGGGCGCTCGACAAGACGGTACGCCAGGTCGGCGTCGGCAAACAGCTCGACAAGCGCCTGCCGCAGTCGTTGCAAGGACAGACGGGGAGCCATAAACTTGTGGAGGTTCGTCTGCCCGGACCCCGACTCTGCCAGCGCCGCCGCAGCCCCAGTAGGAATCCTCGGCCAGCTGGCAGCATGTGGCCAAAGCTCCTTCTGGTGCGGCACCTCTGGGTACCCTTTAAGCGGAAACTCCAGTCCTGGCTTCTTCTTGGGGTCTGTGAAGAGACGGCGCCAGATTTGGAGGTGGGGCATGTGATAAAGACGAACATGCTTCCATGCGCTGCCAGTGCTGCTGCGCGCCCAGTACACAGTGGCCCCGCAGCACTTGCAAGAACGCTTGTGTGGATCATCTGTCTCCAAGAACATACCCTGCATGAGGCCTGGAGTCCTTGCCCCAGTGCCCTCCTCCTCGACCTCCATGACCTCCTCCTCATCCTCCTCCTCCTCCTCCTCCTCATCCACCCCTCTAGCGCGCTTGCTCCGCGCCCCACCAGCCCCTGCAGTTCCCCCTCCGCGTCCACGACCCCTAGCACGCAGGGGAACCTCCCCCCCTCGCCCCCGACCTCTACCTCCTGTCCCTTCCCCACTCACTGCTTCACCACGCCCGCCACTCCCTTCAGACCCACCCCGCGCTCTTCCCCAACTCTTGCCGCGATCACCTCTCTTGCTACCCCTATCTCCACAGCCCAAGCCACCACCACCAGCGCCCGTCTTACTGCCGTCTCCCCCCTTAGCACCCCCAACCACACCCGTCTTGCCTGTCGCCGTAGGGCCTCAGAGCTTTGCCCTTGGCCTATTTGCGAAATTTCAAATACCAGCAAAATGCGGCCCGTTCCACCCTAGAAACTAAGTTCCTTCCCTCAGTTGCCTTTAGTTTCTGCCTAAGGATGAGAAGGACCAGCTTAAAATACAAAACTAACCGTTACGAAACCCTGTTTGCTAGATAGGAAGGAGCCATAGTCTAGGTCGAGACTGAACAAACAACTTTCTGATTGAAATTTCGACCTTTTGGTCGAAATTTTGCCATCTCTGCGGCTGGTCGCAAAAATCGCGACGGGTACAGTCGCGACCCGACGTCGGGTCGGGTCGGGTCGGGTCAACCCGACGACAAATACCCGACGTCGGGTCGGGTCAACCCGACATGTCGGGTTGAACCCGAACCCGGGGATGTCGGGTTCGGGTTGACCCGACCCGTCGGGGAAAAATCAAACCCGACGGGTCGGGTTCTTCCTACGGGAACTTGAACCCGACCCGTAAAAAAATCGGGTTCGGGTCGGGTTACCCGACCCGACCCGACCCGTTGCTCAAGCCTAGGTGGGAGGGGTGAGTGAGGGTGGTTTTTTTTTTCTTAACTAAAAAACACCCTGCTAACTAAGGGAGTGAGGGTGGTAGTTCTACTATAGGCGCAGAGGGTGCTCACAGAGCCGGAGCCGGGGCTCGCACGAGATGCTGTCAGGATCGGCATCACGTACCAAGGGAAACCCATGTGGATGGTGCGATTGGGTTATGTGTGTGGAGGGGGATGGGGAAGTGGGGGGTAGGAGAAGGTTCCTGAAGTTGGGCTGGCAATACATACCAAGGGAAGCCCATGTAGCTGGTGAGTGGGAGAGGCAGGGGGGGGAGGGGGATAGGGGGGTGTTCGCTTCTGGAGGTTACGGTTCTAGAATCACCCGTTGTGTGCGTGTGTGTCAATCCACTGCAATGTTTTCTTCCTGCTCTCTCTCTGTGCTGTGCCAGGTGGATACAGCAGGGTGGGTGAAGGCAGCGCAGGCGAGGCAGAGGGGGCCGGTGTCGCTACCTCTTCTTCTCACCCCAACCCCCCCCCCCCCTTTCCCCTCCTCGCCTTGGTCTCTCTCTGTGCCAGGTGGACACGGCCGGGTGGGTGAAGGCAGCGCAGGCGAGGCAGAGGGGGCCGGTGTCGCTAGCTCGGATGGACATGGAGCGAAGCATAGGGCGCGCACACGTGGTGGTGCTGGTGCTGGACGCCGCTGTGGTGAGTGCTGTGATAACTCACTCGCTATGTGCTGCTGTGGTGAGTCACCAAGTAGGACCAACTGAATGTATGTGCTCTTCACATGGGACGACGCATTGGGCGGGGTGACTTTTGAGTCGACTCAAAAATCACCTCATTACAAAGTCACACGACACTTTTGAGTCGACTCAAAAGTCAACTGAATTTGCTGTGGTGAGTCACCAAGTAGGACCAACTGAATTTCTGTGCTCTTCACATGGGAAGGAGCATTGGGCGGGCGCACGTGGTGGTGTGCCTGTAGCTTGAATGTCGCTGTGGCGAGTGATGAAACAACTCACTCTGTGCTCATCTGGTGAGTTTCTCAATTACGTCGCCCAAATCTCAGCTCCCAGCTCTCAGTGTGGTGGAGAGAAGCATAGGCAGGGCGCACGTGGTGGTGCTGGTGCTCGATGCCACTGTGGTGAGTGAGTTAGTAGGGGAGGAGATGCGGCGCGGCGAAGAGGTCGCTGGCGCAGTGGGTGTGGGAGGAGGGCAGGGCACCTCTTTCTCTCGTATCGTATTTCTCTCTTCATTCGCCATCCACGCCTCCCCTTCTCAGTCCCCATTTGTCAGGTAACAGAAGAGGAGAAGCCCCTAGAAACGGCAGAGAGGTCGCTGGCGCGGTGGGTGTGGGAGGACGGGAGGGCGCTTCTTCCCCTCTGATGCCTTGCCTCACGTCCTCACCACCCTCCCCCTTCCCTCCCTTCTGTGTCGCCCCCCTTTCAGGTGGCGGAGGAGGAGAAGTCTCTAAAAACGGCAGAGAGGTCGCTGGCGCGGTGGGTGTGGGAGGAGGGCAGGGCGCTGGTGATAGCAGCCAACAAGGTGGATGCGGTGGGGGAGGAGAGGGACAGGCGGTGGGTGAGGAAGAAAGTGAGGCGGGCCGTTCCCCTGGAAATTGCTGCATTACTCCCTCAGGTGGGTGAAGGTTTTGTGTGGCCTGTGAATCTTGGTGAGTCTTTGGTGAGGTGCTGGTGATAGCTTTTTGAGGCGCCCCAACAGATTTTTTAGGCGCCTCAAAAATGGGTTTGTGTGGCTTGTGAATCTTGGTGAGCCTTTGGGGATAGCAGCAAATAAGGTGGATGCGGTGGGGGGGGAGGGACAGGTGGTACGGAACGGCACGGTGGGTGAATTCTTAGAAACCAATTCACCCCAGCCTACACTTTCAGGTGCCCATTTAGAGAGGATCACGTGCCTGTTTAGTGCTAAGAAAGCACGATGTGACACCCCTTCATGCTGCTTTCTTTTCTCTCCTTTCTCTCCCAGGTGCACCACGTCCCCATAGTATTCACGTCAGCACTGCACGGTGAGGGCGGAAAGGAGCTAGAGATAACAGACATATCATTCTTTCTCTTTCCACTCCCACTCCGCCCCTGCTTCTTTCCCAGGTGCACAATGTGCCCATAGTTTTCACATCAGCCCTCCAGGGCGAGGGCGGCAAGGAGCTGATGCAAGCCGTCTCAGACGCCTATGACAGATGGAACACCATGCTGCCCGCTGCCAGGCTCAAACACTGGCTGCCACAGGTATGGTTACCTTACCACAGGTATGGTAACCACAGATTGTGTACAGATAAGTTCCCAGGAAGTGGTCACGTCAGCCCTCCAGGGCGAGGGCGGCAAGGAGCTGACGCAAGCCGTGTCAGACGCCTACGAGCGATGGAACACCATGCTGCCAGCAGCCAGGCTCAAGCACTGGTTACCACAGATACGGTTACTAGACAGTGTTACCAGATACTATCACAGCTACATGACCAGGTAAGTGACCAGGTAAGTTACCAGGTAAGTTACCAGGTAAGTGACTTTTGGTGGTGAGGCGTATGACCATGCTGCACGCTGCCAAGCTGATGCACATGTACGACATAGGTATGGTTACCAGATAGAGTAACCATGTGTGTCACCACCAGGTATTTTACCGGGTCTACCTCGGTCTCAGATGTGTACGAGCGATGGAACACCATGCTGCCCGCTGTCAAGCTGAAGCTTTGGCCACCACAGGTATGATTACCACAGATTGTTTTACTAGGCGCGTTACCAGGTAAGTGAGCTCAGTAGTTGGTGTATACGAGAGATGGAACACTATGCTCCTCCCTCCTTGTCTATTGTGTCACTGTGCATCCTTGCTCCCACACTACCCTCTCCTTCCCTTGCTCGCTCACTACCCTCTCCTTCCCTTGCTCCCACCCCATCACCTCCTCGCCCCTGTCCAGGCCCTCATGAAGCTTCCTGGGTCGTCCACCGCAGCTTCTGTCAAGAGCATAGTGCAAGTAAAATCCCGCCCGCCCACCTTTGTGGTCCGCGTCTCTGCCGCTGCTGCTGGGGATCGCTCCCTCGCTCGCTTCCTCTCCTCCAGAATTGCAGCTGACTTTCGGTTCGATGGGGTTCCCGTGCGCGTGGTGCTACGAACCAAGGATGGCACCAGGTGGTGAAGGGTTTTCAAGTGTCATCAGAGGCTGCTGCTGGGGATCACTCCCCCGCTCGCTCCCTCACTCGCTTCCTCTCCTCCAGAACCGCAGCTGACTCTGGGTTCGATGGGGTTCCCGTGCGAGCGGTGCTTTGGACAAAGGACGGCACCTGGTGGTAGGAAGGGGTTGTGCAGTGCTGACAGCCTTTGTGGTCCCTGCGTTCATGCGTCTCTGCCGCTGCTGCTGCTGCTGCTGCTGGGGACAGGTTGTTCCCTCGCTCCCTTGCTCGCTTCCTCTCCTCCAGGATTGCCGCTGACTTTGGGTTCGACGGGGTTCGTGTGGTGCTTTGAACTAAGGGCGGCACCAGATGGTCAAGGCTGTGCTGTGCTAGCGGTCGTTGCGGCCCGCGTCTCTGCTGCTGCAGCCGCCGCTGCTGCTGCAGCCGCCGGCACTGCTGCTGCCGCTGCTGCTGTCGCTGCTGCGACCGCTGCTGCAGCCGCCGGCATTGCTGCTGCTACTGCTGCTGCTGGGGATCGCTCCCTTGCTCGCTTCCTCTCTTGTCTTCCAGTGATCAGGCTTGAGGAAGGCCAGCACAGCATCCGTGCGTGAGGAGTCTATTTTTGAGGCGCCTCAAAAACAGCTGCCTTGGTTTAGAGACCAGTGATTAGGCTTGAGGGAGGCCAGCATCAGTATGGGAAGAGAACCGTCTTCTTGCCCGTGGTGGAAGCTGTATGTGCAAGCCACACACACTATCTCTCCCTACCATCCCACTTGGGAGCTGTAGGTGTGTGTAGCAGTGGGGATGCAGAAACATCATGTCAGGAATCTTTTTGCACTTGCAAGAGAGCACCCAACCGAATCCTCTGGCAAGAGCTATGGCACTACAACCGAGCAACTATCTCTGTAACCTGTTCTTGCCTCTGACTGGCTTGGCTTGCCTCTTGTCAATAAGGTGTCCAAGATTCCCCCCCTAATTCACACGCTTTTTAGATTTCAATAACTCCCACCGATCTGCAAACACACAAGCCCATATCCACTTATTTTAGACGCCTCAAAAGTGATAACGCTCCGCTTGCGACTTGACAGTATGGGTCCTCACACTTGTCCCTTTCTGGTAACTGTATTTCATATGCGTCTGAGGTCTCACGAAATCCCACCACCCCCCCCCAAACAGGTCCAGATCTGCCCTATGCAGGTATACCGTATTCTGAGTCGACTAAAGAATCCCTGTAAGGGTACCCGTAGTTCAGCTGCATTGGAGGTCTCTTGAAATCCCATTGATCCCCCCCAACCAGGTCTAGATCCGCCCTACGCCTCATCCATTCCGGCTTGCCCCTTGTCAGTCCTCCTCCTCCCGGTACCAGTCCTCGTACTTGTCCCTGTAAGGATACCCGTAGTTCAGATGCGTCTCAGGTCTCCTGAAATCCCACACATCCCCCCCAAACAGTTCCAGATCCGCCCTCTGCCTCATCCATTCCGGCTTGCCCCTTTCAGGTTGTAGCAGAACCGAAACTCCATCTGCCACAGCCAAGGCGGGAGAGGGAGTGAGGGATGGAGGAGACGCCTGAGAGGTGTGAGAGAGTGAGGTTGGCCAGGGAGGGGAGCGAGAAGATGGAGGGAGGGAGGCGTGTGATGTGTGTATTGTGCCGCAAGTTTATGTGTGAAACCAACTCCGTGTGTGCACCCATACCAGCAGTGCTGCGTTCCACACCAGCAGCACCAGCAGCGCGGATTGAATCAACAGCTCCTTCACCAATAGGGCGGGTTACAGCACCAGCATCAATTACCAGATCGGTAACGGTTATGCCAGCTATACGCGTTACAGCAGCGGGGCCAGCTGGAACAGCACAGCCGGTTATTGGAGCAATGCCGGTTACACTAGCAGTAGCGCCAGCTGCTGTAGCACTGCCAGTTATAGTAGCTGTACCCGTTATAGTAGCATCATCCCCAATAAAGGCAGTGCCAGTAACAATAGCAGTGCCGACAATAGAAACAATGCCGGTTGTAATCCCTTTATTAGTCACAGTATCAGTGCCAGTGACAGCAGCAGGCTTAGGAGGAACCTCAGGGGGGATGAGGCAGAGGGAGGGGAGGTGATGCAGAGTCAAGTGGCGGAGGGACGAGAGGCGGGTGAGAAAAGTCGGGAGGAGGGAGAGGCAAGGGCAGTCGGAGACACTCAACGAGTGCAGCGAGGGGGGGGGGGGAAATCCAGAGGAGGAAGAGAGGCAGGAGAAGAAGCAGCAAATTACCCAACAAACAAAACTAGGCGCACGTGAAAACTTGCGCCCCCAACATGCACACAGAAACAGGTTCGCGCAGCACACGAACTACAGTAACTCCTTGCAGTCAAATTCCACGACACTCAAGAATTCCGACAGCTGGCAGGCAACTTTCTTGGGCGCGCAAAAAAACCCGTCACCTTGCATGCAAGCTTCGTGACTCATACGAATCCAACAGCTAGCACGCAATCTTCACGACGCGCGGAAGTCAGCAGCTACGAAGCACGCAAACTACCTAAGGAAACAGCTAGCACTCAACTTGTAAAACACTCTGACATCCAGCTACCACACATTGTCCACAATAATCTTCCCCCATTGCTCTCTCACAAGAGCCACGCATGCCCACATTGCTGACACCTTGTGCTGCCGCAACCACCCAGCGTCAGATTTGGGTGTGGTGCTGTGGCCCTAACTGAGCTAATTCACAGGGTCCTGATCAGTTCGGCGGCTTCCTCAAAGCCGTCCATGGCGCGGTCCACACCCTCGCTCATCAGCTGCATTCTCTTAGCAGAGTCGTGGGAATGCTGAGGCAGGACCCTGTAGGGTTGTGGGGAGGGAGCGTCGCTGCTTGCAGCGGCGTTCAGGTCGGGCAGCGGCAGGCTTGCACGCTCCAGCTTCTCCACAACCTCGGGATTGCGAATGTCAAATGGCACCCTCAGATCCCCTGGCGTGATTCCTGTTGCTCGAGAATAGCCGGGGATAATCTCAGTGGTGGCCCGCGCTATGCGGCGCGCCTCGCAAGCTTTCCAGTGGCACATCGTCGAAGGCTGCAGGAGTGGTTGGAGCCGCCAACCAAGAAGCACGCTGCGGTGGTGGTGATGGCTCAATGGCGAGAGGGTCAGCTCTGGGTAGATCACATGTTGGCTGGTTGTCATCAAAGGACACGTACGTCGCTGCGGGCATCGCACCCGCGCCCAAGGGGAGGGTTCGGATGAGGGTGCCAACATCTCCAATCTCCTCCTCCAGCATTGGTTCAACCTCCTCATCCAGCGGATCCGCCACATGCAACTCGAGGTGCTCCAACTCCATGGCCCAAGAGTTGGGCAAGCAGGTCGTACGGGACCAGCAATGCTGGATGGTGCGCGGACTGATGCTAAGCCATGACGTGCTTAGCATCTGCAGCGCCTCCGTCATCTTCGTGCGAACGCTCTCACGACGCACTGCTCTGGCACTGCGGGTCAAGTTCCACACTGCCACGACCTTCTGTAGGAGCTTCCCCCGGTAGCGGGTTTTCAGGGTCGAGATGATTCCCTGATCCAGTGGTTGGGTGAAGCAGGTGGTATTGGGGGGGAGGTAGACCACCCGCAAGTTACTGAGGCATCGGGTCCTGAAGCCGAAGAGGCCTTCGGAGCGCACGGTATTACCGAGCAAGGTGTGGCTGCTCACGTTGTCGATGAGCACCACGTTTGAGCCCCGCTCAGCGAACATCACTGCATTTATCTTCCCCATAAAATTGGTGAACAGCTGCAATGATAAACGCATGCGGGAACAGTAGCAATCAATGTGGTCGTCTATACTAGCTCTAACGTTAGTTGTGTGTTTTCCTCAAGTAGTATCCTTCATGCGCAAGGGTGATGATATAAAACTGAGGGGAAGTAGAGAAAAATATAGGGCGGAATAACACTTTTAATGTAACGTACAATCTTAACCAAAGGAAACATGCATGCAACCAAGTGCGCGGCCAACGAGTTCGACCCTCCGCAGCTCCTACCACAAGCTTCTCAAGGCATGTTCAATTGAAGGAGCATTTAGGTCCATGAAATACGTACAGGGCTGGTCATCCAGCCTTTCTTGTTGGCCTGCCAGTAGCAGTGGGGCACGAGGTCGAAATTGGGGCGGAAGCAGGCGGGGCGGGTGTGCTTGTGAATAACAAGGGGGCGGAACATCGTGCTTCCATCAGCGTTACACATAAGGCCAACCATGACACGCTCCTTGGGCTCCTTCCCTCCTGCAGGGGAGTCGGCGGAGTCAGTGTACATTAACTTTGGCTGAATGTTGATGTACAATGCCGTCTAGTCAAAGTTGAAGACGTTGCGAGGAGAAACCCCGAGGTACATCAAGAGGCGCGGCAAGTTGACCTTGCACGTGTTGACAGCGTTCAGATCTTGGTCCGCCGCCTCCCCTTTTTGCTTCACGCAACGGATGCCCATACGACGAAGGGCACGATGAACCCATCCAAGGGAGCAACGAAATTTGGAACGGGCAATGCCAGTTGCACGAGCCATGGTTTCCGCTTGCTCACGGATCACCTCCTGCATCAGTGGGATGCCGGCTGGTCCAGCACGAGTAATCCATACGTGGAGTTCAGCCTCAAGCTCGGGAAAGCGACCGCCACGGACACGGAATGCAGTGGTGGGGGTGTTGCCACCGGTCCACTTGGCTTCCGATGGTGCTCCGATCCGGGCAGAGCCTAAAACGAGTGAAGCACCAGCGAGCAATATTCTCCTGCGTGAGGTGGTCATGCTCTCGCTTGTACGCGCAAATGCTGCGCTTAACAGCTTAAGGGAGCTGAGGGCGACGCTGAACTCTAGGCACGGTGAACTCGACCAGGGAGTGCAAGATAGACAAGGAGGAAGCTGGCTGGAAGTGATTTTGCCCTCCCCTTTTGCAGTGACACTGAATGTCGCGGCTGAATGTCGAATTTCAGCTGTGGTGGGGCATTGTCGAAGTGCGTTGAGAGGCCGTATGCGGAACATTCAGTGTTTTACAGAACTCGAGTTGTAATCGACCAGTGCTCGGTTTTAGTTGCTCCATCGAGTGTCATTTTAACCCCCGTAACAGGTTTACACTGAAACGAATTGTGTTTTTTGGTGTTTTTGGACTTGGGGTCAATCCAGCATATTAACTGCCAAAGACGCCGCGCGCTTTGGTGGATTACAGCGTGACAAGGGATCTTGACAGCAACAGGGTGGGGGCGGTGCCGCCATGTTTGTTTTTGTAGGCAGGTTTCTTTTCATCATTTGATAGCTGTTACAGAAATTTTCCATGGTTTATCACCAAGAGGCCAATGTCGGGGTCATAATTGATTGGGTTTTCCTTCTTTATACAGTACGCTGGGCTTCCCCAAAACAGCCTTGTGTAGTCTGTCCCCGAGCGGTGTGGCAGGGAGCTTGCTGCCACCCTGTCGCAGCGAGCTTTCATCCCTCTGTCAAGAGAGGGTTCTTGACTGACTAGGCGGCTGTCTTTCGGCTGATTGGGCGTACTGTGTCAGCAATGGGGGCGAGAGTGCGGCCGAATCTTTGCCAAACTTGTACACGACATTGACGAAACTGATTTCGGCGAAAAGGTCCTTCTGCATGTTCGCTCCCAGCAGTGTCGCAAGTGGTTGAGCCGCTCAAAATTGGGCCAGTCCAGGACGGGCCGTTTGTCATAAAGTCACCAATCCTAACCACTGGGACAAGAAGGGATGTCATCAGGAGGGTTAGGCTGTCAAACATACAAACATCTATTGTATGTTACAGTAGACTATATAGGGTTGTGCCTTAGGGAGTACAACCCATTAGGCTATATACCCCTGTATGTCCTGTTCTAGTGAAATTTTCTTACTTTGACGTGGTATCAGAAGTAGGTAGCCCCCCCCCCCCCCCCCCCCCCCCTCTAGCGCTTCTGCCCTAGGTCCTAGCCACCCCGCTCATGCTGGCCCGTCTCCTAGCCGCCCCGTTGCCTAGCTGGCCCCGTCGCCCAGCACGCCCCGTCCCCCGTCGGCCCT